GGCACCACCAGGAGGCGCCATCGAGGCAGTGTGTGATATGTTCACTGATCTCATCCCACCACAGGCTAAGCATGTCGTGCTTAAACTCAGCTGTACAACAGCACATAAAGAAATGTGTGACTCGCCTCGTGAAGAGTTCATCGTTTTGCAACTTACATTCAAATGGAACTCTTTTCTTTTACTGGTTGTGTGAAGTTGTGCTGATGTCAGTATGGTACAAATCTGTCCTCAAACTGACATCACATCCCCCAGGGGAAATGCTGAAGAGTTCACAGCTACGTGAGATTGCATTACTTTCATGTGTTTAGAAAACTGTGTTTCCTAAAACTGTGTACAAGTGGGGATGGTTTGGGGTCATAGAAGTTAAGGACCCTGCAGAGATATCATTACTCGGCTAGTCAACTATGACCTTCCAGACATGCTATGCTGCTGAGCTAGACATGGCCCAAGTCTCCACCCTCATCTTTAGGATGTAGGGAGTCCCCACTGGCCCAAAGACGTAACCCATTTGGGCAGCCAAAGGCTCTGAATATGTGCAGGTCTTTTCAAGGGCTCTTGGAAAGTGCCTTACCCATCCATCCATTCATCCATCCATCCATCTATCCATTCATCACCGTAACTGCTTAATCCCAACTGGGGTCGCAGGGGGGACCGGAACCTATCCCGGGACCAATGGGTGCAGGCAGGAAAGTGTCTTAGCCTTCTAGGCAAAACCTATTGAATCTGACAAAGACGATTCTTTAGAATCTTTTAGTTGCGATCTTTGGATAATTTAGGTTCTGATTATTCCTAGGCTTCCTACTTTGGGCTAAATTCACTCACTCTGGATTATGACATTGCACAGGATTTGCTTTTGGCTGATAAAGCGATATCAGTGGACACAAAGTGTAACCAGTCTGGTCTCCTCTAGGAACTGTGGTGTGGCTATAAAGTGGCACAATGTCAGCTTGGTTGGTCAGTTCAGCTCATTTTAGCTTGGTTTAATTGAGTGATTCAACCCAGAAGCTCAGCTTATCTACAGGTTGTCTAGTAAACTTAGTGGCCTATCTTGTGTGAGCTCTGCAGTTCAGGAACTGTAGTTTACCTGATTCACTCAGCTCTACATCTGCATGGCAGTCAGTCACTGTATGATAGAAACGTGAAGCTGGACTCCAGTGTAGTCCTGCCGCCACGCCCCCGCACTGGTCTCCCTTGCTGGAATACTGACAGCTGTGCCTCACTGGAGATTTGGTTTCTCTTAACTGGCGGACATATTAAACCAGGTTAGCCAGCTCAGTGCGAGGAACTGTCACCCAGTGTCCGATCTCCAAGCATTCAGTATCCCCGAGTGCTTCATTCTCCTCCTGTGCTGTTCTGTGTGCCTCATCTTCCTGATTCCTGGGCCTGTAAGTGTGTTTCTCGCTCCCTCTTTCAGAACCAATGTGTGTCGTGTTTCTCCTGTGTCTGCACGTGTGCCTGCATTACCCTGCACCCCCTGGACCGACCTTCTGGACATCCGACTCCTGCTTGTGTTTTTGATGGCGTCTCCTGCCTAACGTATTGGTTTCCAGTCTGTTCCACATCTGGATCCTCAGTTCCCCTGGAGTTTTGTTACGATTAGTTTGACGCTTAAACCTCTGCTTCACCAAAGACAAGTGATTAGTCCCAAAGCTTGAGTCGCTAGGTAGTAATGCACTGTGCTCCTCCCCACACCCTAAGGTGTGCTTCATCTCGGCTAGGAACTGTGGCAACGGCACCATCTAGGAATTTACCAGGGATGGCAAGTCTTGGTTCAGAAGAAAGCTTTATGTGCTGGCAACACCAAACACGATTCGAAACCAAGACATCAGCCGAAATCTAACCTTACTAAGCTGAATCATGAACATACAGGACAGCAGACAAAGTCAAAGGGATACATGCGCCA